CAGAATAAATGAGCCTCTCTGTATTTTGCGAATATCTTTCTTATAGTTCGACGTGGATATTTGAGTTTTTTCCAAAAGATAGCCCGTGAAATTCTCTACAAATCCTGAGGGAAAGAGTTCTTCTAAAGAATCATCGTAAAAGTATACCAAGTCAATCTTATAATGCCGTAAATCAGTCTACTTTCAAATACGCATTTTATAAAACTAATCATTGTATTTCTTCTATCTAAATAACTACAAAAATCTGCTTTGATGTATTTCTATTGTATTTTTACACGCGCTTTTTTACATAAAATTGAAAAGAAGTCGTTTGACTAGAATTGCGAGTGTCTATCGGTCAGTCTTCCCCTAAAGCGTAAGGAGGAACTATCAGTTCGTTCGGTTCTGAGTCTTAATCATTACAGCAACAAACTTTGTATCATCCTATTTCCATCCAAATCAGAGAGGAAACATTTTACTTCAATTTTGTAATAAATCTGAATATATAACAATTGCTTATTTCGTGTATCGAATTCAAAACTACAAGGAACCTTAAAGTAATATCTTTTGAATGAAATTAGCGGGAAATAGAGGCCACACTTTTTCCAGCTAAATTGGCAACATATCGAGATGACGTTTGCATCTACCGATAGAGCATTTCACGGACTATAAATTGCCCTAGCAATCTTTTCTCCATGTGAAACAAGGAGCTATATAGATTGGTAAGTTTGATCGATAGTGCTTTGAAAATGGACTGATTTAGGGCATGGTAAGATTGACTTAGTACAATTTTAAGATGATCCTCTAGAAGAATTATTTCCCTCAGGATTTGTAGAGAATTTCACGGGCTATCTCTTGGGAAAAACTCAAGTATTCACGTCGAACTATAAGAAAGATATTCGCAAAATACAGAGAGGGCCATTTATTCTGCCGCACCTGTTAGTAATACTATATATATCAAAATGTTTCAATACTTAAACAAACTCGTCAAATCTATACAATTTATCATATACGAGCTTACTTAAAAGTTTAAAAGACTTTTCATTGCTCGAAATTTAGTTTAAAATCAAATCAATCGCTATAAAGCAAGATTTTATTCGAATATATACGATGTTTTTTTTGGAAATCGTTTGCACATAGTTTTCTTCATCCATGGATTGTGTATTAACGAATCCTTTAATAATGAAAAGTGCCTTAAACTTTTGCCAATAACTTTAGCGTATCTTGAAATATTCAATGTCTTATATTAGTTACGAAAAACTATATTCTGCGTACGATGATATAGTTTAAAATAAAAGAAAATCTACAGGGTGTACCAAAATTATAAGCCCCCTGCTGTCTTGTTGAAGAAAATTTAGTTTTCGTTTTCAGAAGACATAAGTTTGATCATAGTATATATTCGTTACATAGACCAATAGATGTACTNATACCTTAGAAAAATGATGGCCACTTTGCGACAGTCTTATAAATCTCACTTTTCAACTAATTTTCAAAAGAAACAACTAGTCGTTCGTCGGCCTCCCTTCGGTCGGCCACTCACGGCTAGCTGTTCCCATGCGTACTCATTTTACTATCTTAACTTCATTCGGACGAAGACGCGTTCCGAAAATGAGCACATTTCGGAAAAGCAATTCATAATCAAAAACTAAGAAGCTGTACATAGCTATATGATTATCTGGAAAAGGTTTCAATCTTCTCTCCACCACGAGGAACCTTAAACGGCTGCCACCTATGTTCGTGCAGAGCAACGATTAATTTCTGACTAGGAAATCTTAAAGCTCTATAAAAATCACAAAGTTTGTTCTTAAAAATATTATTCTCCAAATCGACGACTAGTCGCTCGTCGGCCTCCTCCGGTCGGCCACTCGCGGCTAGCCGTTACATGTACATTTTCACTCTTCCATTTAGTCTAGAGCCAATTTTGAAAGTACTCCATTCATTCTCTTCTATTCCCTCTTTAAAAGTCACCCTCTTTGTGCTACTGTGACTGTCGAAGACAACACTTGACAAGCGAAACAGTATTTTGAATGACTGGCATCAGATGATAGTCATATAGTATAGCTGTTTATAAAAGTGTGTGATCTCATTAATATGCTGATGACTATGGAGATCCAGCGATCGGACGTCAGTCAGCTATTACATTTTGCTTTACATATTCCTGCTTAAAACATTATCGTCTAACAAATCGATCCTTTGTCGCAAAAAACGGGTCAGAAAGTGTTCATGAAAAAACTAACACCGTATTCGAGATCCTCGACCTCGATTACCCTTCGGTCAACCCTTACTCGGCAACAACAAAAAAATTCATTAATTAATTAGCAATTAGCTAATGAGCTAATTAGAATTTCCAGAAACTGACCTCGGATTCGGATTCCTCGACCTCGATTACCCTTCGGTCAACCCTTACTTGACAACGAAGAAAATTTTCATTGGTTAATTAGCTAATGAGGTAATTAGAATTTCGAGAAACTGACCTCGGATTCAGATCCCTCGACCTCGATTACCCTTCGGTCAACCCTTATTCGGCAACAAAAAAAAAATTCATTAATTAATTAGCAATTAGCTAATGAGCTAATTAGAATTTCGAGAAACTAACCTCGGATTCGGATTCCTCGACCTCGATTACCCTTCGGTCAACCCTTACTCTGTATATTACATATTAATAATCTATGTCTAGTTGACAGCTAGTTAATTAATAGTTAATAATTAGTTAAAACTAACCTCAGATTTAAGTTCCTCGACCTCGATTACCCTAGGGGTAATCATTTTCTAACAACTATAGATCAATTTCATTGATTTTAGAAATGCTGATTTCTGATTGGATAGGACAGACAGACAGACAGACAGACAGACAGACAGACAGACAAACTTTAAGCTTTTTAACACAGCATTTAAACGCTGTATAACCCTTTCTTTCAGAAAAGGGAAAAAGGGGGAGAGTGAAGGAATGCTTGATTTCATTTGACTTCTGGCTGTGATTGTCTCATCCTAGCAAACTGTTTGTGAATTATGAAATTAGTTTGGGTTGTCCTATGAGGGAATCTACGACATCAAATACCATTAAGCTTATGTATAGCACAGTCGACGAGAATGTTAAAATACCATGTAAACTTACTTGATATCGCTGGTAAGTACTTAGGATCTGATTGAGCCGTCGACAGATATTTTTCATTGAACAAAATAGCGTCCGGTCATTTTGATGATCCATAATTCGATAAACTACTTCGACAGGTAATGTGGAAAATGTGTGCATGTTGTATTTCAATCGTGCAGCAGACGGTACCGTAGAGACTGGAAGCGATGAAAAAATATTTGGTTTTGTTCGTTATGAGTAGTAATTCATGGTGATGATGTAGTTATATATATTTTTGACGAAAACAAATGACGTGTAATCATTTCAACTGGTATGAATTGTTGGCGTGCACAGATAGATGGCATTAGAATACGTATGCGCAGTGAATTCTGGTTTCACAGTTACAATAGTAAATTAAAAAATTGAAAACAGGACATCTTTTATGGCTTTGGCTCCTTTGGAAACCGATTATATTTTCATGAAAAAGAATTAACATCTCTAAATTAATTTTTTAACTAAAAATTGTAATGGAATATGAAAAACTCTGCAGCTTAGATTAGAGATCCATTTTGATTATGTATGTTTTGTCTTCGAGAACACTAAATGTTACCCAGTCAGTTTTCACCGATTGTTTTGCAACATTTGAGGTTTTTTAGTTAAAAAGAACAAATGATTGTAATAAGTTCGACGATATAGTTTGCTGATAGAGCTTCATGCAGCATTCCTCAGTGTGTTTGTTTCATTTTTTCAAATCTTATTCGATGATAGATAAAACAAAAGCAAAAATGATCGTTTCTCAACCTGAAAAAACAGTCACATGATCTTTGATTTCTTTTTACAGGGTATATCAAAATTATAAGCCCCCCGCTGCTTTGTTGAAGAAAATTTAGTTTTCGTTTTAAGAAGACATAAGTTTGATCATAGTATATATTCGTTACATAGACCAATAGATGTACTATATATATATATATTCCACCACCTTTGTGAACTCGCTGTTGTGATCGATAAAGTCGACTTGAATCATGGCGAAATCGACGAATATAAATCCGATTTTTCCGATTAAGTATTTGATAATTACTTTCATCGGAAAAAACAACATTTGACCAATCTCGCACTGACCAATTCAAATGTTCATAACACCATGTAATTCGATTACGTCGTTGTACTGAAGTCACGCGAGGTTTTCTTGGAGCAATGTATGATATCATATTAAAACCTCGAAGAATACGACTAATTGTTGACCGACTAACAGATAAATTTAAATTCGTATGAGAATATCGGACAAGATCATTTAATGAATATGTATCATCTCGTAATTGTTCGAATTTCATTAGACGTCGTTCACGTTCTGTTGTTTTTACTGGACGACCAGCACCAGGTTTTGTAGCAACTGTGTGAAATTCTTCATATTTATGAATCGTTTGACGAACACAACACCGAGAAATATGTAATTGACGAGATATACCGTGTTGAGAAATTCCCATATCACGTAGAAGGATTATTTGATTCTTCTTATCAGTAGGAACGGACTTGCGTCCCATTCCTCGTGAACGATATAGATAAATTTTATTGTTAATGAATATAGTGGATAATAACGGTCAGATATATATATTCAAGGGTTGCCCTAGAATACTGAACGAAAGAAAAGAAAAAGGAAAGGGTAGGGGTCTTATAATTTTGAGACAGCACTTTATTCCTCCTGTTGTTCTCTACACATATATAGACGACGAGGATAAAGAACAACTACATATATATATAGTACATCTATTGGTCTATGTAACGAATATATACTATGATCAAACTTATGTCTTCTGAAAACGAAAACTAAATTTTCTTCAACAAGACAGCAGGGGGCTTATAATTTTGGTACACCCTGTATATCAATCACACATAGCATCAACTACGAATTCGAAGAACTTACTCGAATAGTTTTTGAAGAACTTATCACTTGGCCAATATAATCTAAATTAAAAATTTCTTCTCTTTTGTCGAAAAGCATTGCGATGGAAAATTCTATGGTGATATATTATGATTCTTATAAAAGATATCATGTAAGTATATATATAACGATAATATCCTATTCTTTGTTTATGTTACTACGTGCTAAATTGATGCCGCTGCCATTTGTACATACTGTGACGCCATTGTCGAGTTACCATTTGCAGTGCCATCACATTGGTTTGTCATCTCTCTTCAACAGAATAGGAGACATGAAAAATCTGATACTTAAATGTGAACCATAATCGGGTGGCAATAGACACGAATGGGTATCCTGAAATGAATAATTTGCATATTCCCCAAAAATGTCTCGTATTCAGATATAAGAAAGATAGAAATGGATGACGACCGCACGATAAATTCGAATCTCCTGAATTATTCACTCACTATGATACGGGTATTTTAATAGTCATTACAATCGAAAAGCCTTCCATCTAGTAAATGATCATTCTTACTTTGAATATATTGAAAATGAAAATAATATATAAAGATCCGTTATTTATATACACAATGCTTTCGAGATTCTGTATCACGTCTGTGTTCGTCTCGCTTCAGTGCTCTTTTAATTACTATTTTTTCGTCTTAATTTCGTCATAACTGATTTTTAACTTTTTTCTTACATAGGAGAGCAATTTCTATCGCGTATTATTCATATTTTTGCATAAAATAAATGTAACAAAAAACAATAAGCATTGAAATTTATTTTCTCGATAAGTAAGAAAAAAATCACTTTCCTAACTAACGGATACACATTTTTCGTTCTATGTGTGTTTATTGGCTTGTTAGGTTAGAAATTAAGAAATTATATATCCATTAAATTTTAAGAGGTAGACATATAACAAAAATGTACCGTCTATCGCAAATAATTGATTGATTATGAATCTACCTTTTCTATCCATCTCCCTCATCACCATTTTTTGCTTAAAGGGCGTAGTCTGATTTTTGGCTCATCACATTTATTTTTCTCGTATGGCGATGCATATTTATTCGTAAAACTATAACTGTGCGTTAAAGTATGCTTAGAATATAGTATATCAGTTATATCTCTATGTTGACAAAGAGAAAAAACAAAAGAAAAACATCATCGTGTCCTATTTAAATTATAAAATGTACTTGATATTAAAATGAAAGTCCTTTAATAAATATTTCTATAGGAAAAAGAAAGTCTTTTGAAGATAAATATGCTCTTCATACTTGTATACTCATCACATTGTTTAATGTGTATCGGAATATAAGAACCAAAATGTAGATCTAAGACAAATTCAGGTCAACTATTGTTCTATTTCTTACAATCTTTATCAGTTATTTCTACTGTGTTGTTCTATATAAAGAGAATAAATTGTATGTAAAACATTTTCTAAGTATATATCAATGTTTATCTTGAAACTATTTTTTTCAATTCTTAATTTAATTTCAATTTCAACATTAATTCAATCAGAAAGTATATGTTTGGATAATTCCAACATTATTTGTTATTGTACAGATGATAAAACTCTGGTGACATGTATTGAAAATTTACCAACAAATGAAACATTTATTGATTGGTCAACATTTTTCTCTAATGAATATGAAGATTGTTCATTTCATTTTATTAATTTTACACGTTTAACAACTCATACATTTACGAATTTTTCATCGAAATTTTCTGATCTTTCACAAATTCAATTCAATTTTACAAATGGAATTGATGAAATAGCTGAAAATACTTTTAAATCATTGAATTTTTCATCATCACCACAAATTTCTATGAGATTTAATTCCCCAAGAATTTTTCAACTTGCTGATTATGCATTTAATACTGAAATGAAATATCGATTATTATCAATTGAAAATATTCAATATAATCATATTTATAATCTTTCTTATAAATTAAATTTAAAATCATTTCATTATACAAATATTTTTCAATTTATTATTTTAAATTCTAAACCACTTG